TCTAACACCATAACTGTCTTGTTTGCTTACTTTACAAGCTGTAATTTCTACACTTTAATTTCTTTGCTAATTTTGTTTTTTATTCATTCATGGGATGTAGGCTTCATTGCCTGGGCCAACATTTATTGCCCATCCCTGGTTGCCCTTGAGATGATAAGTGGCATTCTTGAAACCTTACAGTCCATATGCTGTAGGGCGATCCACACTGTCATTAGGGAGCAAATTCCAGGATTTTGACCCAGAGACCGTTAAGGGACAGCAATAAGTCAGAAATGGTGAGTGGGAAGGGAACTTGCAGATGATGTTCCCATGTATCTGCTGCTCTTGTCCTTTTAATGGTTGAATGATAGCAGTCATGGGTTGGCAGCTGCTGTCAAAGAATTCCTGCAGTGTATCTTATACATCGTACACGCTGCTACTACAATACATCAGTGATGGAGGGAATGAATGCTTGATGTGGTATCAATCAAATGGACTGCTGTGTTCTGGATGGTATCACGTTTGTTGAGTGTTGTTGGAGCTGCACTTATTCTCGCAAATGTAGAGTATTCCATCAGACTCTTGACCTGTGCCTTTTGAACAGGCTTTGACAAATCAGGAGCTGCATTATTTGTCACAGGATTCCTAGCTTCTGACCTGTTCATGTAGCTATATTGTTTGTTGTTTACAGTCCAGTTTCTGGTCAATAGTGACCTCAGGCTATTGATAGTGGGACATTTCGTGATTATAATGCCATTGAATGTCAAGGGACAATGGATAGATTTTATCTTGGCGGAAAGGGCCGTTGCCCGGCATATGTGGGTCGAATGTTACTAACTACCTCTCGGCCTGAGTCTGGAATATTGTCCAGGTCTACTGCATATGGATACATAGCGCTTCAATATCTAAGGAGTCGGGAATGGTGCTGAACATTGTGCAATAATCAGTGAACATTCCCCACTTTGACCTTATGATGGTGGGAAAGTTACTGAAAAGCAGCTGAAGATGATTGAGTCTAGGACACTAGCCTCAGGACCTCCTTCAAAATGTCTTGGAGCTGAGATGGCTGATTACCAACAACGCCAAACTTTGTGTATTTTGGGTATGACTCCAACCAGCAAACAGTTTTCTATCTGATTCAAATTTACTCTCATTTTAATTGGGCTCCTTGATGTCACACATGGTCAAAAGCACCACTGCTATCAAGAGTTCAGAATTGGGTATCTGATTCTAATTTGTTCATTTTCACTCTACAAAACATTTTCTGCAACAATATCTTCAGGGTGATGAGCTATGTTCTGTTTTTACAGGCCTTATTGCTTTGAATGTTGTAGTATTTAATCATACATTCTTCTGTCCAGCATACTCTTTATAATGAGACTACTAGTAAGTTAACTTTACGATTGCTACTAGTTTCAGATATGTCAACGTGTTTGTGATTTACGTGCGTTTTATAATACTTACTCTGTTTCCTAGTTGCAGTGCTGGGACAATGTTAGTTTAGTTGAAAAGTCTATTTACAGATTAAAGTCAACACAAAATTGCCATATTACATTCTGTAACAGAACTGATCTACTGAAATGTAAGCAAAAATACTGACTTGTTCTGACTTTTTTTCAATGATCAACTGAAGTTAGTTCAAAATTAAGTGATTAAAACAGCATTTTTTTTAAATAAGTGCACCTTTCAAGTGCATGGCTACAAAAAGCAAATTTGTACAATCTCTCCTTCTGAGCTGTCCTCAATTAAAGTGCTTATTAATACATATAAAGTAAACTCTTTTTAAAACGTCCATCTTTTTTAAGGGCCTGCTACACCATGTCTGACAAATAACAGGTCTTGTGGTGCCCCCTGCAGTGCCCCCAGATAATGGTGGTTATTCTCAGGTGGGAAATGTTCACTTATATCTGTCCTTGCTTCAAGCAACAACATTCTCAGTCTCAATCTTTAAAACCTCTTCTGGTAAAACCAAAGCACATTTGCTGAACAAGCTTGTTGGCCCTGTGAAGTCCTTTGGTCATCACTTTTCTAGGATGCAAGTGCCATCTGTTGATATTTCTCATTTTATGAAGAAAACTAATCAATTAACACAGCCATTAGTAGACAGGGACCCATTAGTAGCTCTTTCAGGGTGCTGGCACAGGTCATGATGGGCTGCATGACCTTATGTGCTGTACAATTCTAAGTCCTACTCGCTGCTTTCAGGCATTTGATCACCTGAAGCTCTGCGCTGCCATTTCTTGTCTGAAGTTTTACACTTCCTTCGAGGTGGGTGAGGCCCTTTCCCTCTGAGAGCCTGCTTTGTACTGTCTTCAGCTAATGGGATATTTCCAAGTTGCTGCCCATCCTGAGTGTTATTTGTCTTTGTATTGCCCCTCGAGTTCCAAAGAGATGAATGGAGATTGTCACCCCGTCTTCGGACTCTGATCCGGCTGTATGCTGCAAATAGCTCTTCAGCCTTTTTGTTAATCTTCTTCTGGTGCATTCTGTCCTGGGCATTTCTCAGTTTGCACTCAATCTGGTAGACATCCTCTGTTGCCATGTTTACCCTGTCAAATTGTTCGAGCAGTGTTTCGAACAGTGGAACCAGGCGGTGAATATTTATCTCAATTTGTGCTACTTTGTTTGGGCTGACGACAGGAAAAGTGTCCACTGGAACGGAAACGCTTGAAATAGAAGATGAAGAGATATCGGAGATGGTGCTGGCCGTGTGGAGACAGGTTGATTTAGAATCTCTAGAAGACCGGGAAGGTAAGGAAACCATTCCTTCAAATTTGACTTTATGGCGGAACTGTAAAAGTAAGGGAAAAATACTAATTGATGTGTTATGTGAAAGAAAATAAAGAGAACTTAATTTCCACACAGGAACCTGAACACCAAATCCAGGCTAATGATCTCACTGCAGTAATGGAAGAGTGCTCTCTGATCCATTTTAAACAAAGACTTCTCAGGAAGATGTAAGAAGTCCCAATTTCAAAGAAGGCTATGGGGGTTCTCCTAACAGTCCTGCCTGACATACCATCGTCACTAAGGCATATTATTTGACCATTCTTGCTTTACTGTTTATGGGAATTTGCTGTGTATAAACAAATTGTCACTTTTCCTACATTGCAAAAGTGACTATACTCAGTTAATACTTTACTGGTTGCAAAACACTTTGGAACTTGCTGAAGGGTTCTATATATAGATTCTGTCTTTCTTTAACGTATACCTTGGCATTTTATGTGTTCTAATTATCCCAACATGTGCCTACTGACCTCTTCCTCCGTATATTTCTGTGATTATCATCATTTCTGCTCTCAGCAAAAAAAAACACCTCCAATAATTTTGTAATAAAACAAAGAAGTGAAACTGGGAGAGATTTGGAACAAACAAAAACTAATTCCTAGAGAAACTCCGCATATTTGGCACTATCCCTTCAGACCTGTTGAGTTTCTCCAGCAATTTCTGATTTTTGTCTGTTGCAATCTGTCTCTATTGACTATAGATGGCGCTGCTGCAGCAACAGAATGAGAAAATATTTCATTCCAATATAGTTGCATCAGGAGAATGATCATAAGTAATAGAGACAAGCTGTACCTGTGTCAGGGTATTACTGATGCACAAGGAAACACCTAGACTGCCAACAGAACAGAAAATCACAGATGCAGCCATCAGTTCTTTTGGAAATGATGACATATACAGTTGCATTAAAATTCTGCTATTCAACATTGAATAATTTTAAAGTACATCATGCAACAAACAGCTATTGAAGAAAATGTTAACATCTTTTAATAGATATACAGCTCCCAATATAAAACAAAAACAAAATTCTAGAAAAATGCAGTATTTGGAAAGAGAAAAAGCAGGTAAGTATTTTAGGTAAACGTGAGAAGACTGATGAGCAAATCAACAACCTGCCTTTTCTTCACCAGATCCTGATGGATCTCTAGTACCTTCCTTCATTTTTTTTTTTTGCACCTCTGCTTCAGTTCTTTTTCAGATGTTCAGTTGTCAAAGTCATAAATATACACCCCAGAATTTATTGGTGCCAATTTTATCCGAAGTGAATTTCTATGATTTCTATCTTTGAGTATAAGGGTGCAGTAAGAGGACATTCAGCCCAACTGGTATATGCTTAAGACAAAAAAAATTTCTTCCACCCTTCAGCATCTCACTGCATCAACAATTCCATCTATGCTTTCCCTGTCATGTATTTTTCTAACCTCCCATGAAATTCATCAATACTATGCGCAACAACTATTCCCAATGGTAGCAAATTCCATATTTTCATTATTCCCTTGAGTACAGAACATTAAAAGGTGATTTTAATTTTGTTTCTGTCTTTCCAGGAATATGGGTATTGCTATTGTTCACCCCTAATTGCCCTTGCAAAAGTGGTGGTAAGCCTCCTTTTTGAACTGTTGCAATCAATTTGGTTTAAATAGGATATAAGCACACCCATATGGCAGGAATTCCAGGATTTTGACCCAGTGACAGTGAAGGAACAGTGATATATTCCCAAGTCAGGATGGTGAGCTGCTTGGAGAGGAACCTGCGGGTGGTGGTATCAAGCTTTTTGAGAATCGTTGGAGCTGCATTCATCCAATGAAGTGCAGACTATTTCATCACACTCCTGATTTGTGCCTTGTAGATAGTGGACAGTTGTAAATGTTGGTGCGTTCGCCGAGCTGGGAGGTTTGATAGTAGACGTTTCGCCCCCTTACTAGGTGACAGCCTCAGTGCTGTGGAGCCTTTTGTGAAGCGTTGTTTGTCTTGTGCCGGTTCAAATTTATATGGACTGGCTTTTGCCGCTTCCAGTAGGTGCTGGTTCTGGCTGTGCATTGTAATGGTCGGTATATCGGGTCTATTTCCATTGACTGATTCTGCAGATGAATGCCAAGCCTCCAAGAATTCCCTGGCTGTCCTCTGTTTGGCTTGTCCATTGATAGTGATGTTGTCCCAGTTGAAAGTGTGGTTTTTTGTGTCTGTGTGTATTGAAAATAAGGACATCTGGTCATGTCGTTTAGTTGCTGGCTAGTGTTCATGGATGCTGGTTTCTAGTTGTCTGCCTGTTTGTCCCACGTAGTGTTTTGTGCAGTCTCTGCATGGTATCCTGTCGACCACGTTTGTGCTGTCCATGGTATCTACTGGGTCTTTAACTCTGGTCAGTTTCTGTCTTAGTGTGGCTGCTGGTTTGTGCACTGCCCTGATTCCTAGCAGTCTGGGTAGTCTGGCTGTCAGTTATGAGGTTTTTTTTTAATAAATGGTATGGTGGTTATTGTCTTTCGGTTTTGGTGTGTCCTAGTTGTGTTGTCTATTGGCTAAGCATTTGTGGATCAAACTCAGGGGGTATCCATTCCTGGTAAAGACAAAAGGTGTTTTTCTTCTTCCTTCTGCAGATCGGATGTGTTGCAGTGTGTAGCAGTTGTTTTGAACAGGGTCCTCGCGCAACTCCTCTTGTGTGAGTTGGGGTGGTGGTTGTGATAGTTTAAGACCTGGTCAGTATGTGTGGATTTACAGTATACTTTTGTACTGAAATCGCTGTTCTCTTTTCTTTCCAGCATCACCCCCAGGACTGGGAGTTTGTTGTCTTCCTCTTCTCTTGTAAATTTGATCTCCGAGTATGGTGTTGATAAGTTGGTGGGTGTTCTCAATTTCTGTTCTTTTCATAATTACGTAAGTGTTGTCTACTTATCTGATCCAGAGCTTGGGTTGGATCTGTGGGAGGGCTGTTTGCTCCAGTCTCTGCATACCTCAGCTATCAGCCCGGAGATGGGTGAGCCCATGGGAGTCCCGTTGATCTGCTCACATATCTTGTCATTGAATATAAAGTGTGTTGTTAAGCATAAGTTCAGTAATTTGAATATGCAGTGTTTGTTGATCTGTTCCTCGTTTTGTCATCTGTTGTGTTCGTCTGGCTAGGTTTCTGTCAATTAATATAACCAATGTTGTTACACTGAATGAGATCATCACCACTTCTTTGTCTATTCTAGTGTTCTTGATGTTGTCCAGGAATTCTTGAGTTGATTGTATGGAGTATCTTGAACTACTGATTAGATGTTTAAACTTTTGTTGTAGTTCCTTTGCTGATTTGTGTGATGGGGTTCCTGGTAGAGCCACAACTGGACTAAGGGGTTTGTCAGGCTTGTGGACCTTGGGCAGTCCATAGATACTTGAGTGTTGTTGTCTTCCAGTTTCATCCTTTGTAAATCTGTTTTTGTTATCTGTCCTGTTTTGTGTAGGTTCCGTAATGTATTGGTTATAAGTGTGGGATGCCACTCCCTCTGTTGGTAGGTTTGTGTATCTGCAAGTAGTTCTTTGGCTTTTAGTATGTAGCTTGTTTTGTTCATTACCACAGTCATTCTGCCTTTATCAGCGGGAACAATGATGATGTTTTTGTCCTCCTTGAGGGCATTTCTTTCCCCTTTACTAAGTGTGTTCATTTGTGTTCTCCTTGTCGGTAGGGGTACAATGGTCTGTCTGATCGTTTGTTTTGTTTTTTCGTTTAGTCCTTAGTTTCAATACACAGACGAGAAAAACCCCCTTTCAACTGAGACAATGCTACTATCATTGGAGAAGCCGAACAGAGGACAGCCAGGAATTCTTGGATGCTTAGCATTCATCTGCAGAGTCCATCAACAAATGCATGGAATTAGATCTGATATACCGACCATTACAACGCACAGCCGGAACTGGCACCTACTGAAAGCAGCAAAAACCAGACCATATAAATTTGAACTGGCACAAGACAACAGCGCTTCACAGGAGGCTCCACAGCACTGAGGAAGTCACCTAGTAAGGAGATGAAACGTCTGCTATCAAACCTCCCGGCTCGGCGACACACCAACATCTACAACCAGCACCCGAGCTGAATGGTGGACAGTTTGAGTCGAGTAACTCACTACAGAATTTCTAGCGTGTGACCTGCTCTTGTAGTCATTATTTATATGGCTAGTCCAGTTCAGTTTCTTACCAATGTTAACCCGCAAAGTGTTGCTTGTGGGGGATTCAGTGATGGTTATATCAACAATGTCACAGGACGAAAGTTAGATTCTCTCTTGTTAGAGACAGTCATTGCCCAGCACTTGCATGGCATGAATGTTACTTGCCACTTTTCAGGCCATGCTTGGATATTGTCTAGGTCTTGCTGCAATTGGACATGGGCTGCTTCAGTATTCAAGGAATTGTGAATGGTGTTAACATAGCGTAATCATGAGAAATCATTGAAGTAGCTGAAGATGGGAGAATCTAAGACATTCCCCTGATAAAGGGTAACCTTTAATCATGAGGGGCACTGATAGGATGAATGGCAAAGGTCTTTTCCCTAGGGGTGGGGGAAGATTAAAACTAGAGGACATATTTTTAAGGTGGGAGGAAAAAGATTTAAAAGGGACTTGAGGGGCAACTTTTTCCACACCGAGGAACGTGGAAGAAACTGCCAGGGCAAGTGGTAGATGCAGGTACAGTTACAACATTTAAAAGACGTTTGGACAGGTACATGAATAGGAAAAGTTTAGAGGGGTATAGGCCAAACAAAGGCAAGTGGGACTATTTTAGTTTGGGGCGAGTTGGACCGACGGTCTAATTCTGTGTTATACGACTCAGAGACCTGTCTTACGAATATCACAAGTGGAAATATTTTCTCTTTGATTATTCTATCAAACCCTTTAAAAACATCCACCCCAACACCCTTCAGTTTTATCTTATCTCGAAAAGAGCCTCAGTCGATTCACTGATTTTAAAGATTCTCTCCATTGTGGGTTTAGAAATAAGTAGACAGGTATGTTACACATAAAATGTCTGTCCACTAAAATCTACAGCAACACAGTGATTGAATCATCTTGAAAATTCAACATTCACAATCTATATTTAACCCTTCATGGCTGGATCCTACAGTAATAATTGATGGCGTTGTGCTTATAAAGGGGACAAATCATCTTATTCTCAATATGGTAAAAATAAATTTAAGCATGCAATGGTGGTGGTGGTGGTAGGGAGGGAAAGAGGTGGAGGCATAAAGGGGTTGATGGGGAGAAGAGATGGAAATGCAACAAGCCTCCTGCATTCAGCTTTGGTCATGAACTGCTATGTTCACCAGTCCTTTAGAACAAAAAAGTAAGAGGAAGAAGTGACCGCACTTGGGTTCCTCCTACTAGCTGTCCATACATTGACACTGGCACAAACTATACTCACTGGAAGGGTGGGGATAGGAGAATACATTTCTTGGGATGTTGACCAGTTAAGAAACATACATAATGTCTACGGAAGTCCCATGCAACAGACTTGTGAAGATTTATTTAAAGCCAATTAGTAGTTGCACAGTTGGTGCTGTACTTTTTAGTGTCAAATAGCTGCCAGTTTTGGGAACAGGGATGTCATTGAGGGCAGGAGTTTTTGGCTGAGAGACATGTGTCTATGGTGGAAGCAGGGGGAGGAGGATGAATTCCCCCTCCTCCCTTTCCAACCACTGCACCCCCCCCCCCCCAACCACCTCCCCCATCCCCACCCCACCGCACTCCAAATGTTGATTCCTCCCAAGGTCTGATTTCACAAACCTGTCTGTACCTTTGACAGGAGGGGGTCAATAGAGGGCACGCAGGTGAGATACCATTGACATTTACCTTCCTCCCTCTGCTAGGAATCTAAGGCTAATTTTAGTGGCTTTGTGATTTTGTCTAAGGTCAGCTGAGCACAGACAGAAACTCAAATCCCCATTGGGCTTGGCAATCTTTGTCCCATAATACAATATTGCCAATCCCTCAAGGTTGTCCTGGAATCTTCTGGAATGCAAAACGAATCTCCAGATCATTGCTGCAAGCAACCCGAGAGAGAGAAGTCAAGTCACTGGGGTTTGTGATTGCATTGTCATTTGAACATATTTGTTTAATGAAATATTTAAGGTGTTTTAAAGAATAGCAGTTTGAGTGACAGGAAGAATCATGCAAATAAGCAACAAAGAGAATTTCGAATCGACAGGGGAAGGCAGTGCACCACATATTGGCCAACCTGTACCAGAAGTATGATGACATACCATATTGCAGGTCAGATGATACAATCTCCACAATTCACACAACTTGAGATGGTAACCAGTGGGAGCTTTTGACAAAAGCAATTTACAGGAAGTAGCAGTGCCCTTGTAAGATTAAATACTCCGTTACCGTGCCTTTGTAAGATAAAGACTGGTCCAAGCAGTAAAAGACTGTGTATACATACTTCTTTCTCTTTGCTTATACCAATCCACATCTTCAGTCTTTTGACGAATAATTCCACCAGCTCATGATCTTGTGGTTCAACTGCAGGCCTGTACATCTCTGACTTCATTATCTTGTAATTCTGAATTAGTACCACAGCAAACAGCTGCAGTATAATCCCCACCTCAATGGTGACGTAACTGGTGTAGTATATGTAGCAGAGATTTGGGTACTCAAAGAGGCACTGCTTGAAGCAAACTCCTTTTTCAATCACAGCAAACAGGGAAAGAATGCTGCCTCCAACTGTCTTGAAGTTATCGAGGTTAGCTGAAAAAACCTGAAATATGGAATCAAATTTTCAGATCATTCTAACTGTTCCTAGCAATATATTCTCCTAATGAAATAACGGCTGCTGCTGAGGCTGCACTGTGAGATGAGGTATTAAAACTGAGGCCTCATCTTCCACCTCACAGGTCACACAGGCTTTCATCCCATCAATTGTTAACACACTGTCTCCCTTCCCTGACCCCAAGAGGTATTTCTTGATTTTCAGGACTTATTTATATCATTCTAACTCTTTTATGAGGTGACAGAAGGTAATGTCACTATTAGTTCCAACAGATAGAAGGACTCTTGGAAGCAATTTTAAAAGAATTCATCAATAATTACCAACCCAATTAAACTTTAAGACATGACACTGAAGGAAAACATTAATTTCCTATAGGCCACGGGGCAACAGACGTTAATCAGCACATTTTTTTAATAAAATATGCATGTAACTACATCGAGAGCTCCAATGCCATAATCATATCATGCACAGACTGTGACATCACAGCTACTGTATTTCCAATGCATGTTCATAAAGGTGGAGTATCTTAGCCAGGAGTTACTATCATTTTTACTGCTCCCAAGATCTCAATTTCACTTTTAAATTTAACAATTGACAGGTGTTTGGCCTCCCTTTTACCATATCTCCACAGCCAAGCCCCTTGGGTCCTCATCTCTGTCCAAGCTCTGCGTGGACTTCAATTCCCCTCAGACCCTTTCCAGCTTGTTGTCTTCCCTGAGGTCACTTGTCAGACCCCTGTATCCTCCAAGCCTGCTTGCAACATGCTTTCCCAATCCTCAGACCTGGCGAGCAGACAGCACATCCCACCATGCTTCACAGGAACCTATTCAACATTTCACACCAAGACATAAATATTACGGCAAAGTCTCGATCAAAACTGTAAGCTTTAAGTTATTTCAAAAGTACAGAGAGCACAGAGTGAATTCCAGAGCTCAGGACCTTGGCAGCTGAAGAAATGGCTGCCAATTATGGCAAGTAACATAGCTATAGCCAACCTGCATAATAAAATACATACCAAATAACCAATCTGTGCGTAGGCAAGAACAAGACCAACCAATGTTGCACCAACTGCCATCAGTTCCTTTGCAGAATTATATAGTGTTTTCCCAAAGATGGACCACTTCCTGATAAATCGCAGTTGTCGGGCAGCCTAATTTTTCCGCACAAACCAGAAAAGAAATCTTAATTAATCATCTGATTTAATCCATTCCAAGCCACTGACAAATGTTTCAAGTGAAGAACTGGAGTAGTTTCTGGCTGGGAGCCAGAGTTAGCAGCATTCAGCCTCTCAAGCCTGTTGCACCATTCAATTAGATGATTGCTGATTTGCCACAGGGCCACAAGATATAGGAGCAGATGTACGCATTTCAGCTCATTGCAGCTGCTCCATCATTCAATGAGATCATTGCTGAAGTGATAATCTGCTTTGCCCCAGGACCCTCAATTCCCTTATTGGTTAAAAATTTGTCGATCTCAGCCTTGAATATACATAAGAAGCCTCAAAAGGTAAAGAATTCCACAGCTTCACTACCCTCAGAAGAAATTCTTCCACAACTGTCTTAACTGGGCAATCTCTCACTCTGAGATTATACCTTCCGGTCGTAGACTCTTGCATAAGGGGAAGTAACCTTTCCACATCTTCCCTAAGAATCTGGTATGCTTTTATAACACTGCCTCTCATGCTTCTAAATTCCAATGACTGCAGGCCCAAACTACTCAATCTCTCCTCACCGAACAGTCCCACCATACCTGGTATCAACCAAGTGAGCTTTCTCTGGGCTGCCGGTATATCTTTCCCTAGATCAGGGTGTCTGAACTTTATCCCATATCACCTAATGTTCTTGTCTAACAAAAATATATGGATCACTTTCCAAATTATATAACATTCACATGAATATGCATTACCAAAATACCTGCATACTAAAAATGAATTCTGCAAAAATTAGAAGATTCTTTCACTTTTGATTTTTGTTACTGGATATTCACAGTGAAACTAAGAAGACTGTGTTTAATCAACCACCACCCACAGAGGGAGGTAGGAGGTGGAATGGTGTGCTTGACTTGTAATCCAGAGGCCTAGACTGGGTCTCTGGGGAAATGGGTTAAAATCCTATCATGGCAAGTGCAAATAAATCGGGAGTTGAAAGCTAATGTCAGTAATGGTGATCACGAAAACTACTGCTGGTTGTAATAAAAAATCCATCTCTTTAGGGAATGAAATCTGTTAACCTAATTGGTCTGGCCTACAGCAATGTTGTTGACTCTTATTTACTTTCTGAAATGATCAAGCAACCCATTCAGTTCAAGGGCAATTAGGGATGGGCAACAAACGCTGACCTTACTGGTGATGCCCAAAATCCCAGGAACCTGTTTGCAATCCATTTTCACTCAACAAATTCCCAGATCTCGTTACTGGACAAGAAAATATTGGAGAATCTGAGGACATTTAGCCTTTAAGACGGTGAGTAAACAGGGACATTACACAAGTATAGAAGACATTAAATATTGTAAATAATGTGAACCCAAAGCATTGTGCTAAGATGACCAAAAGATTGGGATAATGGGATATGGACTAAACTGGTTGAAGGAAGATGTCAAAATGATAAATTACCACAAAATGATCAATACTTATGATCTGAAAAGACCTGCCTGAAAGGCTGTAGGAAGCAGAGTTAATAGTAACTTTCAAAAGGTAATTAGATATGTACTTGAAGATATTATAGGCACTATGGGGACAGCATAGGGGAATGTCAGGTTCTTCCAAAAAGCTGACACTGGCTCAAGTGTGCTGAGATGAATGGCCTCCTTCTGGGCTGTGCCATAGTATGTTACTCAGAACTGTCTTTTAGGATTGAAATTTAAATAATGTGATGGCTCTGCAGTCAGTTGGTGACAGGGTGGGGGTGGATGGAACAATAAGTTGGTTCCTTGGATGTATGACGTATGATGGGCATCCCTCCTTTATTTCAACTGGTGTTTGGAAAGAATAATGTGACTGATTATTCAATGTGCTGTAGCTCACAGTCTCCCCAGGCAACCAAAGAGGAAGGTCACCTTACATAGTATCAGTGAGTTGAACCTAAAGGTACACAATGTATGCAATATTTATGAATGAAGGCCAAGAGTTTCTTGGAATCATACCTTAACAGTCAACAGAAAAAGGAGGATGGCAGTCACACTGGTAAATACATAGCTCAGGTATGCCATCTGGTAAAAGTTGGTGAAGCTGTCTGGATTGGAACGGTATATTGCCCACTGCTTGTCGCCAATTCTGGCACGTTTCAGATGCACGACCACACAGCAGATACTGAGAATAATGATGCACCACTGCAGATAGTTCCAGAACTGAAGAAAATAAGATTTGCCTCTGTGGCTGATCAACAGCAATTCGGTAACAGTGAAATAAAGAATGAAGAGCATGAGGAAAATCTGAAAGGAAGCAAATAGTGAAATATTTTCTCAATTTCTAGACGAACAAAAAAAAATCAGGCCAGTAACACAATTTTAAGTTTTGCTGATGAGGTTAATATCAACTTCATTGCTTTAACACTTTTGAGAAAGTTTTTCAGAATGTATTCCATCCAGTGAGGTATAATTCAGCAATGAGGACTTTGAAGGAGCTGCGACAGCCAAGTATTTAACAAAGATGATTGAAATATTTATGATTCTACATCTGTTCAAGACTGACTACATTATGACCACTGTTCCAGCTTCTGTATCGTCTTATCTGACTTACATTCCAGAAGAAACTCCGACAATATGTGAGCCAGGAGACATTCACAAAGGATATGGCACAAAACTGCACAGGTGTAGAAACATGTCTTGAATGAATGCACCTTCCTGCTCCAATGTCTGCTTATGTTATGCAGCACGGCTCAATGTCACTACAGGCTCTGAGTTATCCAGGAGCAGGAGTAGGCCATTTAATTCATCAAGCATGTTCTGCTATTCAATCAGATCTTAGCTGATTATCTACCTCAACGCCTTACCTGCAATCTTCACATCCACTGATGTTGGCAGCATCCAGAAATTCATCCATTTTCCTCTCTTTGCAGAGTGATGATCGAGCTACCAAGACTTTCTGATTCACCACCCTCTGAGTGAAGGAGTTCCTCCTCATCTTGGTTTTAAATGGCCTACCTTATCCTGAGATTACATACCCGGGTTTTGGGCTCACCAGCCAGGGGGGATTTCTTATTTCCATTCACCCATCCATGCCCTGTTAGAAATTTTTAATGAGGTCACCTCTTAATTTTTGGAACTCCAGGAAATATAGATCCAACTCCTCAATCTGTCCTTATAAAACAATCCCGACACCCTAGAGATTAATTTGGTGAACCTCTGTTGTACTCCCTCTATGACAAGTATATCCTTTCTTAGCTAAGGAGACAAGGTCTGACCATGGCTCTACACAACTGTAGTGAGACAACTTTACTCCTGTAAAAAAAATCACTAACAATGAAGGCCGATAAAGTATTTACTTCCTAATTTTTTCTGCACTTGCCTGCTAACTTTAGTCACTCATGAACAAAAGCACCCTTTGGACATCTACACTTTCCAATACCTCTCCCAGTTAAGAATATTCTGCCTTTCTGTTTTATTATTCACTTTGGCAGAATCAACACATATTCACATTATATTCTAACTGACATGTTCTAGCTCGCTCATTTAGCCTGTCCAAGTCCTCTTGAAGCTTCCTTAAATCCTCAGAACATAAGTTTCCACCCACATTGATATAATCATCAATTTTGGAAATATTACAGGTTTTCTATATCTGAAGAGCATCCCACTCAGAATCACACCCCTAACCTATCCCTGTAACCCTGCATTTCCATTGGCTAATCCACCTAGTCTGCACATCTTTGGACTGAGAGAGGAAACCGGAGCACCGGGAGGAAACCCACGCAGACACGGGGAGAATGTGCAAACTCTAAACAGATTAAAAATATTGATTAACAAGTCCTTTCTTATTACACTAAATCCACAATACTCCATTCCCTAGTTGGGTCCTTAACACACTGCTTCGGAAACCCGTCTTGTACACACTGCAGGAATTCATCATCCACAGCACTACTTAACCAAGTCTGCGTGTAAACCGATGTCACCATTACTACTGTATTATTCATGTTATATGCATCTCTAATATATATTATGCCAGTAAACAACTCCCAATGTTCGCTGCCCATTGCTTTCTCTTAGCTCCACCCAAACTAATTCCACATTTGGATCGAAGATGCTCTCTTACCTTACCCAGGTGGATAGAGTTGTTAAGAAGGCGTATGGTGTGTTAGCTTTCATTAATAGAGGGATTGAGTTCAAGAGCCGTGAAGTTATGCTCCAGCTATACAAAAGCCTGTGTATTGTGTCCAGTTCTGGTTGCCTCATTACAGGAAAGATGTGGCAGCATTGGAAAAGATGCAGGGGAGATTTACCAGGATGTTGCCTGGAATGGAGGGAAGGTCTTACGAGGAAAGGTTGAGAGAGCTACGGCTTTTCTCTTTAGAACGACGAAGGATGAGAGGTGACTTGATAGAGGTGTACAAAATGATCAGAGGTATAGATAGAGTAGACAGCCAGAGACTTTTTCCGAGGGTGGAGGTAGCTATTACGAGGGGGCATACTTTTAAAGTGAGTGGAGGTAGATACAGGGGAGACGTCAGAGGTAAGTTCTTTACTCAGAGAGTGGTTGGGGTGTGGAATGCATTGCCAGACAGGGTAGTGGAGTCGGCCTCATTAGGGGCATTTAAGTGGCTATTAGATAGGCATATGGATGATAGTATAAGGTAGGGGTGGAGGTTAGATAGACCTTAGGATTAGGGTAAAAGTTCGGCACAACATTGTGGGCCGAAGGGCCTGTACTGTGCTGTACTGTTCTATGTTCTATCTATTGTCCCTTATGAGTGCTATCCCATCTTCCCTTCCTTTTTGCCCATCTCTCTTAATTGTTGAATATCCTTAAATATTCAATTCTTGACCAGTCATGATCTCCCTGTAGCTATGTCTCCTTAATGGAAATTAAGTCGTATCTTCAATCTGTACTGTCAACTCAACAAGCATCCACTCCTTCCACCACCAACACTCAGAAGCAGCAGTGTGGACTATATACAAGATGCACTCAGAAGTTCACCAGATATCCTTAGATCACACCTTCCAAACCCACCACCACTTCCAGCTAGAAGGACAAGGACAGCAGATGCGTGGGAACACCACCACCTAAAAGATCCCCCCCGAGCCACTCACCACCCTGACTTGGAAATATATCATTGGATCAAAATCCTGGAATTTCATCCCTAAGGATACTGTGGGTTAACCTACAGCATCTGAACTGTTGTGGTTCAAGAGGCTGCTCAACACCACCTCAAGGGAAGTAGACACAGGCAATAGATACTGGTCTGCCAGTGACACCCATGTCCCATAAGTGAACAAAAAAAACTCAACCCTCATGCATTTCGATAGAGTGCCTTTATTTCAATTTTTTTTTAACATTATTCTCCATTCTGAATCCATCTGATGCTTGTCTATGCTTTGTCTGACTTCCATTTTTGCTTTCTATTTTCCAAGTTCCTTTGCTTCCCTCAAATCGAAGTTCCTGCTCAGGTTTCCATTCCCTGGCAGCTAACTTATGAATAGAATCCCCACAGTATGGAAACAGGCCATTCGGCCCAACAAGTTCACACCAACACTCTGAGCAGCATCCCCCTACCCTATCGCTACAATCCTGCCTTCCACACGGCTACTGCACCTAACCTACACATCCCTGAACACTATGGGGCAATTTAGCATGGCCAATCCACCTAACCTGCACATCTTTGGATCTTTATGCACAGAATGAACTACAACAGGACAATTTAATGCCACATGAGCAAGACTTACCATCATGATGAGCAGAAAATCCACTCCAGTACTCAGCTGCAGCAGTGAGAATGGTTTAATATCAATGATGGTGGTCGCTCCCCCCGAGAATGGGAACTCCATGAGAAGGGTGACTACACTGTACAAATCCACATTTTGGAAATACTGGGTAAATTCGATGAAGATGGCCCTTGTCCTAGCAACACAAAATTACAAGTCTGTTGGAAACAGTACGTCTTTACATCAGCTTTTAATGTCTTCATGGAAGGCAGTGCAATATTGTCCTTTTGAAAAATAAATGATTTTGAAAGTTTTCAATTTTCTCGATGACATTGACTGTGGGGCAAGGGTCAATGTATGTGAGCTACCTTTTGATACCTCAGCCATGTTCCCCTTGAGTAAGTCTCAAATGTAAGCTTCAACAAGCCTTGTGGGGCCTTGGAGCTAAGTCCAATATTGTTCTCACCTGCCAACCAATTAAAACTCTTCTCATATAGTATGACTGTTGGTTTCCCTTTTACTTTAGTATTCCTGCAAACTATCCTGATGAGTGTAAGCTCGAAAGCTTCAACAAAATGTGTCATTTTTCAGCGGTACTCAAGTTCAGCACTGCCAAACAATAATATGTACTTTCTGACAGGTTCACGTAGCAGCGCTCAAGAATTGTGACATACTTTCTTTCCAACCTAACTCTAGTCTAATAAGCTAACCACAGAACTTTCGGAACTGACAGCTCATTTACCAAAGATCTGGAATCAAGGGGTCAGTAGGTAGCATTCTCATCTCTGAATGTGAAGGGGCATGAGTTTAGGTCCCACTACAGGAATCTAACAGATTAATCTAGGCTGACATTTCTGTGCAAAATTGAGTGAGAGTTTCATATTCAGGTGAGAAGTTAAGTTTTTTTAAAAAATCTCTTTATTCTTTGATGGGATGTGTGTCTCACTATAAAGGCTAGCATGTGTTGCTCGTCCCTCATTGCCATGAACTGAGTGGCTTGATAGGCCACTTCAGAGAGCAGTTAGAATTGAACAACTTCACTATGGGTCCGGAGTCACATATAGGCTAGACCAGGTAAGTACTGCAGATTTGCTTCACTAACAAACTTCAGTGAACAAGATGGTTTTTAAAATGATCTAGAATGTTTTTAATGGACACCATTAGACTAGTGTTATATTCCAGATTTATTACGTGAATTTAAATTCCACTAGATGTCATGGTGGAATTTGAACCTGCGTCCCCACAGCATTAATGTAGACATCTGGATTAGTAGTTTCGTAACAGATCAAGACTCAACTTCACTCCAAGACTTTTAATTCCCTCGAAAGGAGCACTGAATGAGTTAAAGGTAAAGTTGCCAAAGTCTTACAAGACCACCAGGCTGCTTTCTCATTAGAGAAAGAGACAATTGGGGATTGTTTATTGAGGGTCCCTATGCCTCAGGTGAGGGGAGAGGTTGAGAAGGTGGGACTTTCATGGTAACCCCAGCCAGTGTGGTAATTAAATCTATGCTGTTGGCATCACTCTGCATCGTAAACCAGCCATCCAGCTAACCGAGCCCAAGGAGTGTTGTCTGTTTGGTAGTCAAAGTCCTGTGCACTGTTTGAGGGAATTGGAAGATTCCATGATGCTATTCAAACAAAAAAAAGAACAGGGGAGCTTTCCCAATGTCTCCGAAAACCCATCTTGTTTTTTGGACCTAAAATCTTGTTTCTGGAATCATGCTCTGCAGACTTATTGACAGGACAGTCACTGCAACTCAAAAGTAAATCATTGGCTGTGAGGCATTTTGATAATATTTTGGAGACTTTATGACATGGTTTTTAATTGCAAATTCATTCTTTAATAAGCAAAATATCAAATTTGGTTGTGTTGCTGGCACAATAGTCACATCTGTTGAATTGGGAGTCCATTCAATAACTGGTCTTTTGTTTAAAGCGAATCTGATTTTGAACTAGCATAACCAAAAATTACGTGTTGAAAAACTGCTTGGGTCTTGAAGTCTCAGAACTGCCAAAGCATCAGAATCCTGTTTTATTTCTCAGTAACACTCTGAGTAATAAAGCTTACTTTCCATCCAGCCAATTTCTTTCCTGTAAATTCCACAGCGTGTAATTACTCTGGTCCCTCGTCCTGCCAAGTTTCTGTATGTATCCACCACTGTCATATAGAGCGTTCTGGCCCCAGTACCACACCCTAAAAAGATAAAAAAACCCAGAAATTAAAACACACACACAGATACCCACACAAATGCTTCACTAGTATTATTGTTGAGGGCCTCATTCCCAATAAACACACAAAGCAAATGTGTATCCCCCATCCATACTCCCCAGTATGCCTCCTTTCTGTATTGAATCTGCTAAATCTATTTGGGGATCTGCCTCCTTCACCATTTAGCTGAGGTAGCCACTCTAAGTGCAAGTCTATGCAATTTAAATTGTGATTTAGAAAGTCACTTTGTGTGAGAAGGCTATCACAGCCAAGTCAGTCAATGTTTTCACCTGGTATCAACACTGGTATGTGTTCCTCCACCTGTTCTCCAACAGAAAGATGCCATAGCCAATTGTAGAATTCAAAATGATCCTCATGTTCAGCTCAGCAAATTCGGTCAATACTGGGATTAAAATCTAGGACCACCTCCTTGGTTTTATTCAGTGCTGCAGTCCCAGTGCTTTTTTGCTTTAATTTATAAAGGGAAATGTCTTGGAAACCAAAAAGCATTTCATAACTACCTAATAGAGATCTTTTAAACAACAAACAAGTTTAATAGCATAAAGGTGGAGAAGATGCAAGGAGCAGTTCTAACCTTGAGGGCGTAATTATAAGATGGTCACTCTTAAATCTAGTTACGGAATTCAGGAGATGTCTCTTACACAGAGTGTGGTGAGAATGTGGAACTCACTAGCACAAAGAGAAGTTGAGGCCAATAGTGCAGATACATTTAAACGTGCACAATGGAGAAAAGAAGGATAAGAAGTCAGGTTGGGAGAAGTTTAATGTGGAGGATTCACGCAAGTACGAACCTGGTGGATAGAATGACCTGTTTCGGTGCTGCAAGTTCTATATACCATCCATTGAGATTAATCGTGGAAGAAATATTATCAGTAGCATTGTTAAATTAATATTCTAGTCAATAAATATGAGTTCCCTATACACCAAATTGATTTCAGTATTCTCCAGATTTTCAATAAACAAGACTAGGAAATGATTTGTGGACAATGAGTTACTGAGGAAAAATTTAGGCAGTTCCAGAATCGAAGAAACTGAAAATGCCGAAAATACACAGCAGATTAGGCAACACATGTAGAGAGTCCAAGTTCACCAGTGAGATCACTGAACCATCATCTGAGCAGGTTTGCTGGCCATTATTCCTGTGTGGGCCTAGTCTGGAGGTGTGGGAGCTATACCATCTCCATGGGGAAGGTACTTAGAGCTAAGCCTGATTCCGTCTTCAGCTACTTGCGTAACCTTTCCAACACAAGGTTTAGGCTGGTTGCTGGACGAGGGAAAGAGCCTGGGTTGACTTGTCATTTCCTTAGGTTGGGAGTAGTGTCCACACTCCTGCATTCAGTGATCATTACAAGGAATACACAGAACACATCTCTCAGGTCAATAAACAGAACATGTTCCTTACCCTGGTAGATCAGGTGATGAGTATGACCATGTATCACTCAGATTTGTAACTGGACTCTTCCAGCCAGCCTCATGATCACTGTTATCGTGAAGCCTGGTGTCCTGTAGGCACTGTGTAGTTATTGGTAATGACGGAAGTTGCTGAAGACATTGAACTGGTTGGGCATAAGCATGACAGATTAGAAAGTGCAGTCAGCTGGGAATGGTTCACAAGAATTAGAATCATTTATGTCATATGCAGGTTCTTATCCTGTGATGAGTGAGTTCACTGGAGTATAAAGCAGGCAGATGGAGTTTAATTTGGATAAATGCAAGGTATTGCATTTTGGTAAATCAATCATGGGCAGGACTTATACAATTAATTGTAGGGCCCTGAGTAATGTTGTACAACAGAGAGACTTAGGAATTTCAGGTACATAATTCTTTGACATTCACATCATACGTAGAAAGGATGGTTAAGAAGGCATTTAGCATGTTAGCCTTCGTTGCTCAGACCTTTGAGTATAGGTGTTGGGATTTCAAGTTGAGGTTGTACAGGACATTAGTGATACCTCTTCTGGAGAACTGTGTACAGTTCTGGTCACCCTGCTGTAGGAAGCGTATTATTAAATTGGAGGGGGTTCAGAAAAGATTCACCAGATGGTAGGTTTGAGTTATAAAGATAGGCTGGGACTTTTTTGACTGGAGTGTACGAGTTTGAGGGGTGACCTTACAGAGGTTTATGAAATCCTGAGGGGCATAGGTAAGGTGAATAGCAAGAGTTTTTCCCCTAGGGTGGGGGAGTTCAAAACTAGGGGGCATATTTTTAAGGCGAGAGGGAAAGATTTTAAAAAAGACATGAGAAGCAACCTTTTTATACAAAGAGGTTAGTGTGTGGAATTGGTGGATGCAGGTACAGTTGCAATGTTTAAAAGACATTTGGATAAGTTCATGAATAGGAAAGGTTTGGAGGAATATGGACCAAACACAGACAAGTGGGACTAGTTGGTTTGGGAACACGGCAACATGTACTAGTTAGACTGAAGGGTCTCTTTCCATGCTGTATGATCAATGACTCTACTGAAAAAGCTCTATTGTGATTACTCATTTTGTCACATTATATCAAATAGTATGAGCCTTTAGAGATGTTCTATTACACACTGACATTTTAATCAAGTGGTAACTCATTATATCCAGACTGGCCAGTCTGCAAATTGAAGCTAATGAGCTGGTGTGAACTTCTGAATTTAAAGTTCATTCTTCAATATAATGAATCCAGTTTATTTCCTCTGGCATTCTAAGCTACAACTCTAAAATACATATGAACAATTTATTGAGCCCTTGGTGTGAAATTGGTCACACTTGCAGCTGTGTCAAAAGTTCAAGTCCACTGATGAGACCAGGCACATAATCAAGGTCAAGACTCCAGTGCTGTATTACCAGAAATGCCACCTTTCAGAAGACACTAAAAGTTATTCACTCTCTGCCCTTTTTGCTGGATGCAAAATATTCTACTGCACTACTTTCTAGAAGAGCTTGGGAGCTCTCCCTACTTTCTGAGCTGAACCGTGATCAATGTTACCAAAAACAGATCATCTAGTCAGTGTCATACTGTTGATAGTTAGAGATTATTGTGTGCAAATTGGTTGGTGTTTTTTTTAACTTCAACAGTGAATGCACATCTAAAAGTACTTCAAAAGGGTGTTCAGCACTGAGACATTGAGGTTGTACAAGGCACTTAAGAAATGCAAGTTTTATTTTACCATTGTTTACTTTTGAACGGATTTGGCGTATTCGTGGACATCCCAAAAGTGTCCTACTTCTATTGTTATACAGGTACGGTAGGAGCACCTCTGCCATCCATTTCCAAAGCTCCTCCGATCTGAAAGAGAGCACTGTTTTAGATGGACTTCAATAGAAAGCATATATAAGACATTTGAGGTTGCAACAATGGAAATCTCTTTCTTGTGCTTGAGCAAGATTTAAAAACACAAGATCTAGGTATTTCAGCCCATGGAGAATATTTTGTCATTTAATTCAGTCCATTGGGAACACTTTGTCATTTAATTAAGTCATAATTGATCTAATGTACCTCAAGCCCACGTTCCAGCACTATCCCGGCATCTATTATGTTCATTAATCTCAAAGCCATAATTTTTAACAGGCGATAAACAGCACAATCAGCTAAACTGTACTGCAAACACATCAAACCTTTTACATTCCTAGTGACAGTACAATTCCTTAAACTATTTGTGTATCTCATATTAAAAAAATCTACTCATTAAACTCTTTGCCGAAGAATGAACTAAGTCAAGTACATTCTACTTCTTGTTGGCTCCCTCACTAACTGCTGCAGAGTTGGTTTTGCAACTATGTCCTTCAAGACTTGGTTAGCAGTGGCACCAAAAGACTTTGTGAGATGACATTAAGGTTTTCTTGTCCATGTCAAGGGCAACTTGTAATGGGTAATAAATGCCAATGTCCACGAGTGAACAATAAAAAAACAAGTTTCTCTGTAACTTGTTAGTGGCTGTGAAGAAGTCCGTTGACGAGTCCTTGGCCAGTGTTCAGTATCTCCACCAAGTGGCTAGGCTGAGATCCCACTATCATGTAGAAAACCACCAGGATTAGGCTGTGTCCCAAAACACTGGGCTGAATTTCACCAGAAACTAGGAAGTGCCTTCACCAGATCCAAAAGTGGGTCCCATGCCTGTAAAGGCTGATGGCAGGACACAGGGCAGGGTTTTACCCATGACGGCCACTGTGCAGACTGCCATCCAATTAAAATCCACGATCGGCTACTCAGAATTGAGAGGTGCCAACTCAGTGACAGCACCCACTAAGATGACCGCTGCTGAGGCTGAAGGGAGAAGGTAGGTATCTCCACATTAGGTGCCCTCAAGATCTGTCCTGACATTGGCAAAATGCCTTCAGGACAGGGAAATGGTCATAACTTGGCCAATTCACTGAAATAATTGAATGAAAGCAAAGAGCTGCAGATGCTGATGGTCTAAAATTCTGAAATAAGAACCAAAGTTTTGCAGAAATTCAGCAAGTCTGGCAGCATCTGTGGAGACAGAAACAGAATTAATGTTTCAAGTCCAATATGACTGCTTCAGAGATAGGATTCCAAAAAATACTGGTTTCAATGTTGATTCTTTTCTCCACTGATTAGGTCATTAGATCATTACATGGTGATGATCACATTGCTGATCAAAGGAGTTTGCTACGTGCAAATTGGCTGCCACATTTCTTGCAATTCAACAATATTCAGATTGAAAACATGATAGTCCTATATAAATGAAAGTTAATTCTTTTAATGGAGAAATATATTTACAAAATTTACAATATGAAGCAAGTAACAGGAGGTGGGAGAGTAGCATATGCTGTTTTCAATGAATAGTACCTATTCTGATAAAATCTGATAGTTGTCTTACCTCTTGATTTTCTGGAATTCAACCCCCTTTCTGGGCCCTAACAGGCCTTGTCTTATTGAACTATGCAGGAGTCTGCTCTGCGCATCTCTGAATGAATCTCCATAATTAATCAACAGGACCACGAGCAGAAACAACATATAGATGATAAAGTTCTGAAACAGAAGGGATGACAATTCAGTCAGCTCCGTGTAACATTAATGCAAGACTGAATTTTAAAAAAGTTAAGACACCACAAAAGAAATCAAAGTTGACAATATGTGTATCTGTCTGGGGTGACAGCAATCATCTAACTGACATTTAAAGTGACAGTCTGAATTGGAAAATCTGAATGTTCTGTTAAAATAATCATCCATGTTTGTACTTTTATTCTTTGTATGCTCACATTTTTAACAGGGTAGTATCCAGAGTCTGGATATATACTCCATGTACCACTTTGCTATAGGTATGTTATCCCAAAAGATTTACAACCATCTGAACAATCAGGTTGTAGACATGCTCACTGAGCCGGTGGGTTTGCTTGCAAATGTTTTACCACCCTGCTAGGTAACATTGTCAGAACGCCTCTTTTGAAGCGCTGGTGTTCCGTCTCGCTTGCTATTTGCATGCCTCAGTTTGTTGGGGTGTTTGGTACCACTTCCAGTTTGGTTTCTCAGTGGTTTGTACACAGGATCTAATTCAATGGGTTTGTTGATGGAGTTCCGGTTAGGATACCAGGCCACCAGGAATTCTCTGGTGTGTCTTTGTTTGGCTTTTGCGATTATGGATGTGTTGTCCCAGTCGAATTCATGTTCCTCTTTGTCCGTACGTAGAGACAAGTGAGAATTGTTCGTGTCTCTTGGTGGTTAGTTGATGCTCGTGTATCCGTACGGTCAGTTTTCTGGACAATGTATGTTCTCTCTCCCACACGCCAGTGTTAAATCAAGGAGTTGAGTTAGTGAAGGGCGTTTGTTCTTAAAGCAGGGATTCTGAAAAATTGCCCACTTTTTGAGCACCTTGTGCCTGATGCACAAGTGAAATGCTATTCTCATGCCTCAGGCAAGATAAAGTAGCACACAGCACTGGTTATTATTCATGCAAAAAGCTCTCTTGTTTATGAAGAATGAAGCAGCTCATTAATAATGACGGGAAAAGGAGAATTATTCAACTTCCCTATGGTGTTGAAGCCACACTAGCGCTAGACCAGATCAGGAAAGAAAGTGAGAGAGGGATTAGTTACAGGGCTGAGTGGGGGATGAACAGGACAGTTACAGCAGTAAGTGAGGAACAGGCAGGATAGTCGCAGTAGGGTGAAAGTAAGATCATGTGAAGATGGAGAGGGCCTATTGAGAAAATGATTAAGGAAGTGGTGATCTGTGGTTTGTCTGCTGAATGTCATTAAACCCCAGGTCATTTACTTATCCTACAAATGGTTTAAAATTAAAACGATGTTAAAAAAAACCTAATAAAAGAAGTTGCTCACATAACTAAGGGAGACAATTTTACCTCTTTTTTTCTCAGCAAAACATGCTCCATTATCTACGTAAGGACCGATAGAGCTGTGGATGCTGTAAATCAGGAACAAAAACAAAGTTGCTGGAAAAGCTCAGCAGGTCTGGCAGCATCAATGAAGAAAAAATCAGAGTTAACGTTTCGGGTCCGGTGACCTTTCCTCAGAACACGGAAGGGTCACTGGACCCAAAACGTTAACTCGGATTTTTTCTTCACAGATGCTGCCATACCTACTGAGCTTTTCCAGCAACTTCTGCTTTTGTTCCTGATTAACAGCATCTGCAGCTCTTTCGGTTTTTATTTAGTATCTAACTCACTGCCACGTCTCTTCCAGGCATGCCCACCTTGAAGAAGTTCAGCTCCTCTCTCCGATGGGATTTCCGTTCCCATCTTTCTTCTTGCACACCAACATGAATTTCGCTATCGCTCCTGGTGTTTGACCGAGTATTTGCTAAAACTCGTTTCCACAGCCATATCACATTCTTCAGTGACTGCCTCCAGCTCAGACTCACCCCATGTGGATTCCAACTGTTTCATCCCTCATGTTTTGAATCCTACCAGGATCACAGGTATCTCTGTGATGTTCAATGTTCCACAGACAGCTGCTCTCACTGCATCCTGAGATCCACGCTCAGTGCACACTCTTGACCTTTCTCTCCAACAGCATCGCAACACGCTGACTCAGGGATGCACCACTCCGCAGTTCCACTTCATCCTCTGGCTTATTCGTTGTGCTAACAATAAACCTTTTCTTTTCCTTTCAGGCATCAAGGCCCACAAGATGCAACAACTCAAAGATACTCATGGCCTTCCGGAACCTTCCTCTCCCCCCCCATTCCCTCTGACTCTATCCCCTCTCCCAACCACACCTCCTGTTGGGTATTAACCATACCTCCTAACCTTCCGCTCTCTTGATGCTGAACGTTCTGTACTCAGTAAAGGCCTCAGCTTTATTCCTCTGTGCCCCCACTTAACAAATTTCGGGCACGACATGATGTCGAACTCTTCTTCCGCCGTCTTCGCCTCCATGCCCATTGCTTTGGACAAGAGTCCTCTCCCCGTCCCACAGACCCTTTTGCCCAGTTCCAACACTCTCCCTCTGGCCTTTTACCTGCACTCAATCTGTTCATTGAGAACTGTCAATGTGATACTAGTCGCCTCAATTTCTCTGCTCCCCTCACCAAATCCAATCTATCTCCCTCCAAACTGACTGCACTCCATGCACTTAGATCTAATCCTGACTTTGTTATTAAGCCTGCCAATAAGGGTGGTGGCTGCAGTAGTCTGGCGTACTGGCGTCTACGTTGCAGAGGCTGAGTGCCAGGTCTCAGATACCTCCTCCTATCTTCCCCTGGACTATGACCCCACCATGGCACATCAGGTCATTGTATCTACTATGGTAACTGATCCCATTTCATCCAGTGATACCTCACCATACTGCTTCCAAGCTGATAGTCCCCCAGCCCGCACAGCCTGCTTCTACCTCCTTCCGAAACTCCACAAACAGAACTGTCTGGGAAGACCCATTGTTTCAGCCTGCCTCATGAGTTCTCAGGAAGGGTCACCGGACCTGAAACGTTAACTCTAATTTTTTTCTTCACAGATGCTGCCAAACCTGCTGAGCTTTTCCAGCAACTTCTGTTTTTGCTCCATTACCTACATATCATTTATGTTGGGGAATTAAAATTTAGATCACATTTTGTCACAACTATAAACTCCATGCTGTATATGATGGTGCATTTTAATTTTTAACCTTAGAAGAAAATTTCAGACAGATTTAAAAATGTACTTTTTTGGGGAAGTATTGCTTTTTAATTCCTTTTAGTGACTTGCAAGATCAACTTCAGTTGCTGGTCAATCATCCAGACAGAAATTAAAACTATATTGTATAGGGAGACAGCTGATAGGTGTGCACTATAAATGGTAGGAGATTAATTAATCTTATGGTCACATTGATAGTCAAGGACTGAGAAATACTAGGAGCCAAAACTAGCAATGTATTTGGCCTCAGTACATTGATATCTCTGTTGCTTTGACACTGATGGATCAGCTGCATTTAACAGCTGGCCTCTGAACTGGAAAAATACTAATGTCAGCCACGATTCACTGAAAAAAAATTACTTTTATCATTTTTTTCTCTCTCAGTATTTGTTTTGGCTACTGCTGGGAATTTAAAAAGTTGTGTCCAAGATCAAGCAATATGCAGTGCCTGGTCGGTGCCTCAGGAAAACTACATATTTACCTCAGCGATAATTGAAGTGAAACACAAGTCATTTTCCTCTCGATTTGTCAAAGATTAAACATTTCACAATGAAAACACATTTGCTGGGACTTCTGAAGTAAAACCAAAAAATGTACTGAAAATATGTCAGCATGTCAAACTGAAATAATCTCAATATGAGTGAGGACTGTTTTAGCAGTAGTCATCGTTAATTTGCTCTTTCCACATATTAACTGAATTACAGTGTATTCCATCATCCTCATTTCATTTTGTGTGGTTAAAAGCATTTGTCATGTTCTGATAGTTAACTGACCAGATTACATTTTGGACAGGGGCTTCTTGAGCAAAATGCACAGCATTGAAAGAGACCATTCAGCCGATCTGATTTTTGCCAGTGTTCATCCTTCATGGGAGTCTCCTCCCACCTTATGACATCTATTTCTTTTTCCCTTGTGTGTCTATCTAGCTCCCTATTGAATGAATTCAAATTGGTCATCTCAACTACTCCACAAGGACCTGTAACAAATTCCACATTCTAACCACTTTCTGTGTTGAAACATACAGCATTCTTGGGGGGCTTGCGGCATTTCCCCTTGTGGGAGGGTCTAGGAACAGAGGACATTGTCTCTGAATAAGGGGTCACACACTTAAGACAGATGAGGAGGAATTTCTTCTCTCAGAGGATTGAGAATCTGTGGAATTTTTTACTGCAGAGGGCTGCTGAGATTGCGTCGTTTGAGTATATTCAAGGCTGAAATCAGTAGATTTTTAACCATTAAGGGAATCAATAGTTATGGGGAAAAGGCAGGGAAATGAAGTTGAGAATGATCAGATAAGCCATGATTTCATTGAATGCAAAGCAGATGTAATGGGCTGAATGGCCTACTTCTGCTCCTACGTTCTTATGGTCTAAAGAGGTTTCATCTGAATTTCCCATTTTATTGCTAGTTGAAGCTCTGAATTGATGGGAGTTTTCCATTTGTACCTTGAGCATTCTGTGAAGAATCTGAACCTTCCTGGCCTCCTCCTTAGCTTGAAGAAGGCCATATCCTTGAGGAGGCCGTACTTTGCTGATTTTTTCCGAAGTCTGTTCAACTCGTGGCTTCGCTACTAAATTGTCATCTTCATCTGGATGGATGCGCTTAGCAACCACCGCGAAGTAAAGTGCTTCAGTCAGAACCTGAGTCACAAGGATCAGGACAGGCATTGTCATTTAACGTGGAACAATTGTATTAAAGACAATAAGTGATCACATACAACAGTAGAGATTAAACGTTTAGTGTTAAATGTTAAGATCAGAAAAATTTAAGTTTAGATAAACAGAATTTTTAGCGATCCAGAGTCAATGGCAATCCCTTAAATGCAGTCATCAAACAATTCATCAGAAAATTCCTAATCTTTATCTTATTCTTTATCCAATTCCCTTTTAAAGTTACTATTGAGTCTGATTCCAACAATCTTTTAGGCATTCAGAGATGCGACATTAATACAAGTTATTCCTGTGTTAAAGACTTTCCCACAATACAACATTATTTACTTATCAGATGGTCACTAATAGACATCTTTACTGCCTAGGCTAATTGAATGCAGGCTGAAAAAAATTAATGACCAGCCTGGTTTTCCCACAACACCCTGTTGGATCTTGGATAAGACTTTGAAATTATGTGATCCTTCAATATATCATATGACACTACTGCATGATCTGTGGTGTAATTCAGCCAGCAGTGTGACTTAATGCTCTTTTACACAACTAAGTTCTTGGCACACTTTCGATGAAGGTAAAGTACCAGTTCTAATACTATTAGCCATGCAGACACACAACCAGCTACATTTCCAAAAGAATCTAGAAAGGTCGAGACTCGAGCCATGGCACCCTCTTGTGCCAGAACCTGCCTTCAGCGGTTCCAGGAGGAAGAATGAAGAGAGAACACTGAAGATTCCTGAGATGAGCCACATGAGGGCAATGCTGGAGGTGAAGTTAATACCAATCCATATGGATACAGTGAAGCATCCAGAGAAGAGGACCAAGCAGAGGACATGGGCTGTATAACTGCACCAGAATGGGAAGAGACATTGTTGTGGAGGATCAGTGAAAGCTGTTGAAACATAAGAATATAAATTAATGTTACTAGAGTCGAACCTGAATTATATAATCATCACAATAGCACTTAAAAAGGATACAACAGACTAAAAGTTTAGTATGAAATGAAAAGCCATATGGTGGTTATTACAATTACAATGTATTATAAATACAACACATTTCCAGCACAGAAACGTCACTTGGCACAATAGATTCGTGTTTATATTCCACACGAGCCTTCCCTTATATATCTTCATCTAAACCTGTCAGTAAATCTTTCTATTCCTCTCTCCCTCGTGTGCTTATCAAGCTTCCCTTTAAATATATTCACTTTGTTTGTCTCAACTACTCCCTGTGGTAATAAAATCCCACATTCTCAGGGCAAGGATGTTTACCCTTGAATTCCCTACCTGACATACTAGTCATTATCTTATAACTATGGCTCTATGTTCTGGCCTCACCGACTTAGTTCTGAACTTTTGTGTGAGTGTTATTATACTTCCTTGTACTCTGTATAATGGCTCACTTCATTAACAGACCATTTTTCCTGTGAAATGAGTTTTGACCTGCCTAGTATCCAATTAAACATTGCAGAGCGCAGTGTTTAAACAGAAACCTTGGACTTTATTTTGGTCCATTAAAAATTATCGTATATCATCAGGTAGTCTCCTCCGCTTTGAGCAATGGAAGAGTGTGTGCTTAATCAAACTCAGCACAGGGTTTAAACCCACAGCTTTCCAACTCAGTGGTAAGAACGCTGCCCTACTGAGTCATAACCAATAATAATTAAGCAAATTGTCCTTTCAAGTTGAGATGCATGTACAGAATTTCTGCAGGACATCCTAAACTCTTAATGGAACATTGCATTGGTCTATTATCAAAGGTGCAGACTTTTACATCATGGGGTATGGAGAGCCATGAGGGGTTTCTGCAGATCCTCCGTTAGAGTTATGACAATGGAGACATAGGGAGAAGCTGGTGGACTCGTCTACTTCAGAATAATGGGATTGTAGTTTCCACTGACAGTTGAAATGGTTTTAAGTTCAATAAATATAGGAGTCCTTCAACAGATACAGTAGGAATCCAGAACTTTACACCACAAAGCTGCAATCAACATTAGAACAGTTAGGGTGAATGGCCAACAGCAAAGTCATGAGACTTTTACTGGGCATAACAGTATGTATAGTTGTGGATTTTACCTATTCTTCTGGTCATAGCTGATCGTGCGATGCCTTGATGAGGTCTGATGATCCGACCATTATCACTAATCTGGTCTAGGATTGGTGCCTCTGCTCGGGGTTGTTTACTCCCATCAATGATCTCCGTTCTGAAGAAGAAAAGGGAAAAGTGAAACCATACCAATGACTGCTTGACAAATCTTAATGGGCACATAAAAATTTTCTGTAACGGCGGTTGCAGGACATTTTCATATCAAGCCTGCTTGACAAATAAAAAGGTATCTAATATTAGAATTATAAGTCTTGGGGTCAGCAGACTTTTAGTTTGCCATGTGGATAAAATGTTGTCATTATAGAATAGCTGCTGGTTACAGAAACCACAAAAAATGATTTGCACTGAATTTTGGAAGTCAGATGATTTATCAGGGCAGCAAATTAAAAATCAATCACATAGTCTTTCCAAACTCTAACTGTGTCAAAGGAGAATATTCTGAGCTCAGAGCATTAACTTGACAAGGAGGTCCTAGTGGGCAATTTCTTGTCATAATTTGGTAAATTAAGTGTTACGTAAGAAAATGTCACATTTTGACATGGAAAGTGTGATTCAGGTTTTATATAAAAACAAGTTTTAAAAATGTTAATGACATTGAAATTACACTATTATAATAGGAGACAAAATTCATCTGAAATAAATTACTTAATGACTGAGCTTATCAAGTTCTTTTAAAATTCATTAACAGAATGGGGGCATCTGTGGCGAGGCTAGAATTTATTGCCCATCCCTAACTGCACAGAAAGCAGTTAAGAATCAACCACATTGCTGTCACAGGTAAACAAGACCAGGTAAGGACAGCAATTTCCTTCTCTAAAGGACATCAGTGAACCAGATGGGTTTTTCCAACAAGTGACAGTGGAGTCATGGTCATCATTAGACTGTTAATTCCAGATTATTTTTATTGCATTCAAATTCCATCATCTGCCAGATTGGGATTCAAACTTGGGTCCCCAGAACATTACCTGGGTCTCTGGATCAACAGTCGAGCCATAATACCACTAGGCTATCATCTCCCCAGTTGAGGAAGCACATTCATGTTAATGTTTGTTCCTGAAATTGCATCCCATTATATTAGCCCAAATGAAATGAATCCTGTGGACTTGTATCTGCTAGCATTTGAATAACAGTCATTTAGTTTCTCAATGCTAATTAGGCATTCCTATCAAAACAATATCATTAAACCATTGTCAGTGATAAACTGGCATTGCATGTATTAGGGACAGATTTTCAAGACATACTCACAGGTTAGATATCAAGTGACTTTCAGCATCTAGTGAGATTCTGCCACTGTCATATGAGGTGGACACCTCATTGTTCCCGTCGAAGTTAATTCTTTGTATCAGGTGTTCATCTGACAGAAACAAAGCATCAAAAAGCATAAATATGAAGACTCAATGCACAAATGATTCACTAGAGCTCCAGCTGAAGTGGGATTCCTGGACATTACCTATGGTCACACTGTGTATACAGAATAGGCTATTCAGGCAAACCAGTCCCTGCCAATGTTAAAGCTCCATATGGGCCACATCCTACTTTTTCTTATTTAACTGTATGACCTTCAATTCCATTCTCCAAAATGAGCTTTAGTTTAAGTCCATCCATGATACTTGCTTCTACCACTGTCTGCAATTGTAAGTTCCACATTCACATCGTTCTCTGGGTAAAGAAGTCCTTTCTGAATTCCTTATTAGATTTCTTGCTGACTAACTGGGTCTCTAGTTTTTTTTTTTCTCCACAAGTGCAAATATTCTCTGAGCTAGAGCCAAGGGGGTATCAACATTAGTAGGATTAGAATCATTGTGCATAATAATTGTGATTTAAGTGCATAGTTATGCTTGGGTTTATTCCTTGTTTTAATAATAGCAGCCTGAATAAGCATATTATTGCTACACAGAGCAAGGTAATAAAGGGAACTCAGAATCCAGCTATTTGACTTATCATAGAATCTAACAGTCCCAAGGTTGGGATAAGATGAGCCTGGATGAAGATGTGCTGAAAACCCATTTTTGGGAAGATCATTGGGTAACCAGACGAGCTTCTCCTGTTCATACACTCAAATAAAATGGCATGCTTGCCTGAACTATGCAGACTCAAGAGTTGTCATTGTTCAGCGCACCCCTCTTTCTAAATGTTTTCAATTAATATCTTTCATAATTTTAAGGACCTCTATCAAGTCTCCTCTCAAGCCTCCTCATTTCAAGAGGAAGGAGATCCAGCCGGTCCATTTTCCTGATAGATACATTTTTTGCATTTCCAGCATCATTCTTATAAAACACTTTTTCTCACCCTCTTGACTGCCTCTATATCTTTTACATAAAGGCAATTTAATGCAGCACTCCAGATATGGTCCAACCAAGGTTGCTATAAGTTGTATCTGCTTTTAGTTTGTAGAACTGTAAAACATTGGTCTTTCAAAAAAAAATCAGAAGAGCTCAAATTTGAAAAATGACTGCATGTACATATGATAAAATATTTCTATTATGTTAGAGTCTGAACAAGGGCACCACCCCACAGTACAAGGGGATGGATATTGGAGTCTCCCCAATCCAATTAATTTGCTAATGTTCAGGAATGAATAGCAAAGAGTGTGGAAATTATCCACCTTGCTAAAATCAAGGAACAGTTGGGGTTTGTTTACATTGGGTGTGAAAGCAGAGCCATGTTTTTATATGGCAGAATGTACTTGATGGGCCAAATGCCCACTCCTGCTCCTGTGCCTCATATTCATTTGGGATTCTACGGCCAGTTGAAAAGGGAGTATACAGCACATCCATCACTTTTCATGGAAGTAAAATCCTGAATCGTGTGTTCCTTACTGGAGTGCTAGGTCTCACAAATAACTGTCATGAAGTATCTGGGTTTTTATGACCATTGTTCCAGAGAAAGGAGTTGGAGAAAAAGATTGCTAAAATTTTTATGAAGAAGATGCATTTTCTTGGAAGTTCTTTCAAAAGGAGTGCGACCTTGAAGGAAGTTGCTTAATATGTTTGCCAGAAGTGCTAATTAATAAACATTTCATCAGCATCTCGAAATATGTGAAAATTATTTTGTTGCAAAGCCTCTGAGCTCTGTCAATCTGCAACAGCTGGTCATTTTCACCTTGCTATTTACAGGAGCCTGCTGTGCACAAATTGTCTACTGTGTTTCCAAACTCCAACAGTGACTATGTTTCAACAGTATTACACTCGTTAAAGGTCTTTGTGAATGACGCTACAGATCCTTTCTCTTGTATCATTTCATGGAGCCCTTGATTTCTCTCTCGCGGAAGATCAGTGTTTTTGTAATATAATAAAAGATTACCTGAAGCGGAGAAATATTTGTTCCTGACTTGATCAATGCCAAGCGAGAGGGGTTCATCATCTGAACTCAGTTGTGTCTCTATTCCGAGATGGCGAGTTCCTCGGCCTCTCCTTAACTTTGGAATGTTACTCCCTATAATGGGTTGATCATTCAACAAATCTGGCCAATTCATCATGCTGTCATAGGCTGGCCAATTCGGCATGCTGCGAGCGAACACGAAGTCTCAGCAGTTGTGTTACATTAACTGGAACAAAGCCACCTAACTTTCCAACATAAACACTATCCACCTCCCAAGGGCTCTTCCTCGTCTTTTTGAAATGAAAATGCAGAAGTCTACAAATTAATAATAATTATGACTGCATGTGTGGAGGAGTGGGAAATGGTATCATTGGCCCCAGATAGCCTGGGCCAAGGAAAATGGAAGAAAAAAGAAACTGATGTGACCATTATGCTGGTGAAATGCGTGGCTGACTATATGTTAGGTTTTGACAACAACTTTTAATGATAGCATTAATGTACTTCACAGGAGCATTATAAAGTGGGAAAGTGAGCTACACAGGAAGGTATTAAGGCAGATGACCAAAAGCTAGGTCAAAGAGCTAAGATTTTGGAAATGTCTTGAAGTGAAGTAGAGAGGCGAAGAAGTTTAAGAAGGGAATTTGTGAGATGCGAGCACAAGCAGCTGAAGGTGGTGGAGTATTTAAAACCAGCAATCTTCATGCGTCCACAATTAGAGGAGCGTAATATCTTGGACAGGTGTGTGACTGGAGGAGATTACAAGGATGGGAAAGGATGAGGCCATAGAGACAACTTGAAAACAAGGAGGAGAACTTTAAGATAAATACTCAGCATGACCAAGAGCCAAAGAAGGTAAGCAAGCAGAGCGGCAACAGGGAAATGAGACTCAGTATGAGTTAGGAGACTGATAAAGTTTTGGATGACCTTGACTTTATGGTGAGTAGAATGTGGGAAACCAGTCAAAGAGTGCATTGGAATAGTCATTTTTAAAAATAATTAAGCCATGAATATGGCTTTCAACAGTACGGTAAGATACGACCCAGCTACGATTCCATTAAGTAACAGCCTAGCCAGTGATGTTCACATCCCACAAATAAAACAAAATCTAGCTAAGTAGTAAAGATCCTTCATTAAGATAACTGGATGCCAGCTGCCACTTTTAGGACTGAATTTCAGCATGAGGAGAAATGTCAGGGGATTAAAAAAGGATTAACATTTTAATGCTGATAGTAATTAAACCTTTTTACATATGTTTCTGCATCTGTGCCAAACCTTTTCTAAGAAAGAGGTTAGGAAGTGTACAGGAATGGTCCTCGGATATGCTGAATTGCGCCAGCAGACTGATTGCCGCTCAGCAATTCCTCGCAAACAGGCAGTTGACACCTGATTCAAAGTGCCTTGGGACTTTAGCCCAGCATTGCTGAATTGATCACCTACATGTTCTATAAACAGATCAGGACGGAGGGAGGGAGCTTCAAGCCAGAATTGACTCTACCAGGGGTAGTGTTCCACAGTCAGTACCTCATCCAGATGGGGACAAAGCTTGTGCATGAAGATTTCCAACGTCCAATTGCCACTGAGCTAAGCTCGATCCTGTCCTTGTCCCATTTCAGCAACTGCAGACCTCATATCACTGACTGCTACATGGAAAGGAAAGAGGGCACTCTGAACTCGCACGCATCCCCCATCCCTGGTTGAGAGACACAATGGCCAGTTATGGAATCTCTGCTTCCTCACTGCTGCTCCAGCTGAAAGTAGCTTAAATAACGGGAGACCTGGGACCTCTTGTGGTCCTCGTGACACTTTGTATGGGACACTAAACAACCAACTAATTCTTATCTTGAAAGGAGTTTAAGGAAGTTTGTCTTGTTCACAAAGGAAGTCTCAGTGTGCAGATTGTAAGCAACAAGTTGTCTTCTCTACAAAAACTTGAACCTCTCTCCCAAATGAAAGAAAAGCAGTGATAGGAAAGCTAACCAAGGTTAATATTCATGACACACTGACCTGTTGGCAATTATATCAGACTTTAGCTTCTCTTTGTAATCCTACAAAGACAAAAGAAAATTAACCTTTTAAGACTTATCAATTAGAAGGCCTATAATTGCAAAAGAGAAGGAAAAGTCTCTTGAGAGGCACCTTTTAGGATGTAGTTCACAGGCAGGGGGTTGGTTAGTTCAGTTAACTGGACAGCTGGTTTGCAATGCAGAGTAATGCTAACAGTAAGAGTTCAATTTTCACACTGGCTGAGGTTACCATGAAGGACTCTCCTTTTCAATCTTTTCCCTTGCCTGAGATGCTGTGATCCTCAGTTAAGCCACTTTAATGAGAGGTTATGTCTCTCTAATGACAGAGCAGTCCCTTGGCACCATAACTTTTAACTCATAGGTCGTACTTTAGTCAAAAGTGTATTCAGCTGCACAATAATGCAAAACGTGCCACGTTCCAATCTCACACAAGGTCATTAAAACCAGGCAGGCTTAGGCAGGTTATCTTACAGTGGTAGTAGTGTAACTCCGGTTCAAGGTGAAGTCAACATTTAAAACGGCCACACTGGTCTATTGAACTACTTAGGGACTCTCAACATCTTGCAAACAGCAGCAATCCTTCAGTAATACACTGCAAGTGCCAGCCTGGATTATCTGCTCAAGTCTATGGAATAGAGTTTGAATACAATCTTTTGGCTCATTCCTTAAAGAGACAACCATTTCATGACAAACATTTTTTGTTTTTTTTATTGACCTGTTTACTCTATGGTGACATCAATAGTATTGAAATGCATCTTTGCATCACTTGTAGGTGGGTTGTATTATAATAAAGTTGAAGTTTAGAAAAATAAATTGGCTTTAATGGAACAGCTCATTAAGCAACAAAAATCAATTTTCTAAAACAGGAGTAGATTGCAAAATACTTTGCAATGTGATTAAATGGGTTAAATTATGACATCAGATTCCTAGATGAGGCTTGTTTCCCACTGAATGTAGAAGATTAAGATATGATCTCAGCGAGGTGTTTAGATCATTAAAAGGACTGTGTAGGGTAGGCAAAGGGAAAATATATTCCTCTGGACTGGGAGTGTCAACAACAATGGGGCACTGATAGGGAGTAGGGTTTATCTGGTCAATGGACAGCGGTCAGTTGACCCCCAAAAGACTCAGCACAATAAAGCACTTAAAAACCAATGATGTCAGCAAAGTCCTAATGAGTACGTGGCATGGCTACTCCTGGTCACTGTAATCTAATCAAGTGAACGCGCAATGGGACTGGCCAGTTATCATCTGTTTAGCATATGATCAGTCTGTGCAGGGTCACAATTGCATATGTAAGGTTTAGGAAGCTAAAATTAGATGGGGCCTGTGAGGAATATAAAGAAAGCAGGAAATAAGCAGGGAGTTAGGAGAGCAAGAAGGGGCCATGAAATGACCATGGCAAATAGGGTTAAAGAGAACCTCAAGGCATTCTATACAAACATTAAAAACAAGAGAATAACTAGAAAGAAGGTAGGACCACTCAAGGATAAGGAAGGAACTTGTGCTTGGAGGCAGAAGATGTGGGTGAGATCCTAAATGAGTACTTAATATCAGTATTCAGCCAGAAGAAGGATACCGAGAATAGTGAGATTTTTGTGGAGTATACAAATATGTTATGGCATTTTGAGATAAGAAAAAGTGTGGTGTAGGGTCTCTTGAAGAGCATTAGGGTCGATAAGTCCCCAGGGCCCTATGGTATCTACCCAGCTTATTGAGAGAGGCGAGAGAGGCAAGAGAGGAGATGCTGGGGCCTTTACCAAGACGTTTGTATCCTCATTAGCCACCGGAAAGGGCCTAGATGACTGGCAAGTAGCTAACGTTCCTCTGTATAAGAAGGGAAATACGGATAATTCAGGCAACAACAGATCAGTGAGTCTCACATCAGTGGGTTGGCAAGCTACCGGAGAGAATTCTTAGGGATGGGATTTACACGCATTTGGAAAAGCATGGCCTAATGAAAGACAGTCAGCATGGCTTTGTGCAGGGTAGGTCATGTCTTACTAACTTAATTGAATTTTTCAAGGAGGTGACGAAGGTGATTGATGAGGGTAGGGCAGTGGATGTTGTTTACATGAATTTTAATAAGGCTTTTGACAAGGTCCCTCATGGTAGGCTCATCCAGAAGATTAAGATGCAAGGGATTAAGGGTAACTTGGCTGCATGGATTCAGAATTGGCTTGTCCATAGAAGACAAAGGGTGGTAGTGGAAGGGTGTTTTTCAGGCTGGAGGTCTGTGACTAGTGGTGTTCTGCAGGGATCTGTTCTGGTATCTCTGCTGTTTGTATATTTTTATATATAAAAATGACTTGGATGAAAATGTAGTTGGGTGGGTTAGTAAGTTTGCAGATGATACAAAGATCAGTGGAGTTGTAGATAGTGTAGAAGACTATCAACGGATACAGCAGGATATAGATCAGTTGCAGCTATGAGCAGAGAAATGGCAGATGGTGTTTAATCCAGATAAGGCGCAGCGCTTTGGGAGATCAAATGGCAGAGAAGGTTTGAAGGGCTGACTGGCCTCCTCATACTGCTATGAAGATAATGGCTTCCTTAAAAGTGAACTCTCTAAAATCCACTCTCTGAATAATGGAGTGGCCTCAGCCGGATGTTTGTTGATTCCAAACAGGGCATAGCTGTCTTGATGCAATGAGTGGATACTGCACATGAAGAAATGTGATGAGTGAGAGTACAGTAGAGTACGGGTGGTATCAACTGATTTGCATTCATGTATCAGACCTTTAGCTGCGGAGTATGCGGTAATTCTCTGACGTACCTCCTCCATATTGTCTGCAAATGTTAAAAAAGAACTGCCTGCAGTTGAGGAATCAATATAATCATCAATTTCCAGAACGTTTGATTCGTGTTGACCTGGATCGTGCATAGCTACCTGTAGAAATAAAATAAAAATTGGTCAGATCAGAATGACATTATTCCCAGCATTTTTTTGAAATCTATCCTTTAAAATAATCTCATTCTGTCACTGGAATGTACATCTAGACCCATAAACATCGAGTTAATGTTTGGTAACTATGGGATGCATTGTGTAGTCTCAAAGGGAAAATTGACCAAGTGAAAATCTAACCATTGTTCCTTGACATTCAATGGCATTACCATTGCTGAAATCCCCCAACATCAACATCCCAGGCATCACCACTGACGAGAAAATGAACTAGATAGTCACATTTATAGTGCATCTACAAGGGCATGTCAAAAGCCAAGTATTCTGCAAAGAGGAACTCAAATGCTGTCTCCCAAAAACTTACCTACTGTCTAGAAGTATGGAAGTGTGGAAGTCTGGAGTGTGCCAGGACATTCCCCATTTGCCTGGATGAGTGCAGCTTCAACACTCAAGAAACTTGACATCACCCAGAACAAAGCGGCCTGCTTGATTGACACCCATCCACCGCTTTCAACATTTACCTCTTCCATCTACAAGACATTGTGACTGCAGTGTGTACCATCTACATGACGTACTACAGCGTCCTGCCCAGGCTGCTTAGATAACACCTTCCAAACATGTGACCTCTACCACCTTGAAGGACAAGGTCAGAAAATGCATGGGAAATCCACTAATGTTGATAGAGGTTCCCCTCCAAGCAACATATCATCCAGACTTAGAACCATATCACTGTTCCTTCACTGTCAATGGATCAAAATGCTGGAACTCCTTTCCTAACAGTACTGAAGTGTCCCTATTAAAGGTGCAGCTATTAAAGAAAGCACCTCACCACCATCTACTCCTGGGCAGTTAGGGATGGTCAATAAAGACCAACAACACCCACATCCCTTGAATGATTTTTTAAAAATGTATTTTCCCAATGACAACTGCAGTACATTAAACATCAACTCAACAAGATGCATCTTGATTGCTTTCAAGGATTTTTGTTGAAATCACTGGCATTCTTGCTTTGGAGATAAAACTCCAACTCTAAAGTGGATGGACAAAGTCAATGTAGAAATTATGTTTCCTCATGTGAAGCAATCTAGAATGAGAGCTCACAGTTTTTGGCTAAGGGTGGTAGATTGAAAATAGAGATGAGGACAAATTACTTCTCTCAAAGGTCATGAATCTGTGGAAGTCACTACCCCAAGAGTGGGGTGAATGCTTGGCCATTGAAAAAATTTGAGGAGGAGATAGACAAATTTTCATTTCTAATGGGTTGAAGGATTATGTAGAGTGGGCAGGACAGTGGAATTGAGGCCGAGATGAGATCAGTCCTGATTGTATTAAAGCAGGCTCCAAAGGCTGAAGCCCAAGTCCTACCCCTACTTCTTATGTTCTCTTCTATGTGCCTCAATTAAGCATGCCACAACCAAAATCTCAGACAGTGCATTATAAACCCCAACTACTGGCTGTGTAAGAAAGCTTTTCTTTTCTCATGCCAGTTTGCTTCTTTGGCTCATTATCTTAAATTGATGCCCCTCTATCTCCTTTGTCCAGAGCCCTCATGATTTTGAGCACCTTGATCAAATGCCCTCTCAGCCTTCTCTTCTCCATGAAAAGCACAGTCTCAACTCCTCCAATCCTTCTTCGTAACTGAAGGCCCTCAGCCCTAGAACCAATCTTGTGAAGGGTGTCTTCATATTGTTCACATGTATTTGTTTAATAAGTCCAAAGTGGGCCTAACTTACGTGATGAGCTTTGTTGAAATCCTGTTTTAAGAATCAAGGACTGGCGAAGGAATCAATGCACTTTTTAAAAGCAAGGTATCTGACACTCATTCCAAGTGTTCTTTGTACAGCTGTCTTCTCAAGCAGTCTGGTCAGTCTAGTTGCGGATGAGCTTGAGCCAAGGAGTGTGTGAATGGAGATTCAGTCAGAAAGAAAGATTGGTCTGGGAACTGGCGACCCACTATCAATGACAAAGGACTTCTGTCTACTAATAGCTATCTGATTGGCTTTCAAGCAGCAGAACAGCTTGTGGATGTGAATGTTGAGGTCAGAAGCCATCAGATTTCCAGAAAGGAACATGCTGTCCTTAACTCTGTAGCAAAAATAAAACATCTCATGCCTGAAGAAAACCAATTTGCATCTCATTCATCAGTTGCTGTAAACTGTGGCTTGTAACGAATAAGTCACTAGGGGGCAGCACGGTGGCTCACAGCACTAGGGACCTGGGTTTGATGCCACCCTCAGGCGACTGTCTGTGCAGAGTTTGCACATTCTGCATGGGTTTCCGCTGGGTGCTCTGGTTTCCTCCCACAGTCCAAAGATGTGCAAGTTAGGTGGCCATGCTAACTTGCCCATAGTGTTCAGGGATGCGTAGCTTAGGTGCATGAGTGATGGGAAATGCAGGGTTACAGATATAGGATAAGGGGATGGGTCTGGGTGGGATGCTCTTCAGAGGGTTGGTATGGACCTGTTGGGTTGAATGGCCTGATTCCACATTGTACAGATTCCGAAGTCACCCTGTGCTTCCTGCAAGCAGGTGAAAGTACCTGGAGAAGGAATATCAAAGCAGCAGCAAGTCCTGACTAGAAAAAAAATCATTTTAGCAAACTCTGTGCACAGGGACCACGCCTTCCCAGTCTTTCTCTCTGCCCATGCCATCCTACTTTTGCGTCAAACATATGTCTGTGTGCGTGTGTGTGTGTGTGCGTGCGCACGCACGCACGGGGGCATTTTATAAAGATGCTATAGTTTTGACTAGAACAGATATCTGTCAACGGTCCGTAAGTCTGAGGAAGTTCTGAGGAAGTTCTGAGGAAGGGTTAACTCCGATTTTTTCTTCACAGATGCTGCCAGACCTGCTAAGCTTTTACAGCAACTTCTGTTTTTGCTACTGGTTTACAGAATGGGATAAAGATTCACCTCCCAGAGGTGAAGGTGAGACAGGATCAAGCTTACCCTGCTCTGGGCTTTGCGGAAAAGCAGAATGATGATCAGATAGAGTGGATAGATGATTATACTGGATACAATGCCAGCCGCTACACTCTCTCCGCTCAGAGGAACCAATGTTGAAACTGGAACATCACTGGAAAAACAAATTCATATGGTCACACAATTATTTTGTTTAGCCATTGTATAGAATCCTTGAATGAAATCTGTCAGAAAAAATGCCATTTAGGAGTGAAATCGGAAAGAACTTTTACCAAGCAAAACATAATGAAAACGTGGAATTCTCTCCTTTAAAAGGCTATGGAAGCTTGGTCAATAAAGAGAAGAATTTTGTTATGGAAGAAGATCAAGGAATATGGAGAAAAGTTGGGGAGATGAAGATAAGTTGCAGCTCAGTCATGGTTTAATGGAATAGTAGAACAGGCTTGAGAGGCTGAATGGCCTACTTCTGTTTCTTTGCAAACAATCCTGTGGTATATTCCAAACTCTTCTCATCACCATCCATTTTAATCCCTCTGGATAGATATTTTATAATCAACCTGTTCAGGGATGTCATCACACACCTCTGGAGAAGGTGGCACTGAGCTCGGCCCTCTTGTAAAAAAAGTGAAAATCACTTAGCTGAAGCATTTAGCAGGAGTACAGTGTTTTACACAAAACCTCAAGTGTTATAAATTCATAGTATAGTTGATAACAGGGTACTGCATCTCTACCCCTCCCATTGTCCCAGCAAGGATAGAATGAAATGGGAGAAACAGGCACATTGTAATGTTTCACTGGACAATGCCAGAAATGTAACTGTTTGCTGTGATGGAAGTATGAATCTGGAATTTGAATCCAGGTGACTAAAAATCTGCAGCTTGTGGGTTGAAATCCCATCAGAGTAAGCTGTGAATGGCAGTTAATAAATCTGACAAGTTATGACTTGGCAGCAGAGAGAATGACCATGAAAGCTAACAGACATTGTCATAACAACTCAAATGGCTCACTGTTTCCTTCAGGCAAGGAAAGCTGTTGCCCCTCTCATCCAGTCTTAAGCTATGCCATTGTCTCAATGCTTGTTCAAGTATTTTAGCAAGCCAAAGGAACACTGCCAAGGAGCCATTCAGTCTTGTAGTGCCACATCTTAGGACAATAAAGGAAAGGGCTTTGATTAAAATAAAGAAGAATGGGCATACCTTTTGCTTCCATCACTTATGATTCCGTACCACACTGCACTGGCACAGAAAAAGAGGAATATTAGTACAAGGCAGCAAGTAACCCTCTGGACTCTGGTGAAGCAGCTGCGAGGAGGACGATCCCAAATTGATAGCCAAATGTGCCCTTCTGAGAATCCTCTTTGGATTTCCCCAGTGAATATGCGGGAAAAGTCCTTCAGTTTGGCCTCCGCTATACAGGAAAAGTATGAATAAAATTACCACAGCCAGTACTCCACTCAGATTCTACGTTCATCCCACACAGAAAACTCTGGAACAACTGGTTACAAAAATAAAAGCACCCCCATGTCCCAACTTCCACATGAATACTAATCATATCTTACAATGTCAGTAGTAACCACTTTTTAAAAAGAATCATTCACAAGATATGGGTATCACAAGGTCAGCATTTATATCTCATCAACAATTATCCTTAAGATGGCAATTAGCCAAATTCTTCACAACTGAGTGCCCTGCTAGACCATGTCAGAAGGCAGCTAAGATTTAACCATATGGCTGTTTTTCTGGAATCACATATAGGCCAGATCGGGCAAGAATGGCAAATTTCTTTCCCTTAAAAAGCAGCAGTGAAAACAGATGGGGATTTTAGAAAATGGGTACTTATGTGATGACCATTACAAGATGCAACAAGATTTATTTGGTTATTTAAATTTCAACTTCTAATTTCTGTTGTGGGATTTGAACTCATCATCAGGTCATTAGTCCAGGCCTCTGGATTACCAAGGTGTAAACAGAGAAAGGTCAGAACTGAGATATTAATCAATCTGCAATATTAACTCTTATTTCTCTCTCCAGATCTGCTGTGTATTTCAGAATTTTCTCTATTTTAGATTTCCAGCACTGTTGCTCCAGTGATTCTAGAGTTCTGGTCTTATAACATAACCACTCAGCTACTACACTCAATATGTTTCCCAGACTTAACTGCATTTCTTTACATGTTTCTTTTTCCCAACTTTCTCTGATTTTATTCAGTTTTGATAAACCATAGGTTTTACATATTCTGTGAATCACTGTATTAGAAGAATTTACCGGCCTGGGCTATGGGAAGGTGTGGTTGTGCAAAGGGAATGTTTTCAGCAGAAATGAAATGTAACAACGGAAGATGCTGGAGAAACTCAGCAGGTCTAGCAGCATCTGTAGAGAGTTGTCATTTCAAGTCCAGTATGACCCTTGGAGTCATATTGGGTCAAGAGTCATACTGGACTCGAAATGTTAACTTTATTTCTCTCTCCACAGATTCTGCCAGACCTGCTGAGTTTCTTGAGCACTTTCTCTTCTTATTACATATAGTTATAGCTCTTTGTTGACTATAATAGTGAAGTCTAGCTTTCCCTTGGCCTGCAGAAGATTAAGTGATGACATAATTAAACATAATTGTGTAAAATTAAAAGATCTGATCGAGTAGATAGGAACTATTCCCTTCAGTTGAAGTCAAAGCAAGGGAGGTATTACCTCAAAATTAGAGCTTAAAACGACTGTAGATATCCAGAACTTTCTCCACAAAAAAACTGTCTGGGTCGAACTGAAAATGCCAAAACTGAGACTGTTAAAATTTTTCATCAATAAGAATATTAAGGGGAACAGAACGAAAGTGGCAAGGTGGAGTTAAGATCAGATCAAGCATAATCTATTCCACGGCAGGGCCAGATTAAAGGGTTGAATGGCCTCCTACTGTTGTTCTGTTCAGGAAAATCCTATTGCTGGTTGGGTAGTCCTAAGAGACTTGACCATATTGGTGTTGATACCTTCTCGAAACAAATGGACTTACTTGCAGCTAGGACCTCCTTTTCCACCAGACCTTCATTCCTCTCATTGTCAACAGCTAACCAGTCATTGACCAAGAAATAGTAACTGTTATTGGTCTGTAGATCCTTAATTATTACATGCTGCAGGTACCATGATGGGGTAAGACCTAATGAGGAAAATTCAGGCATAATCAACGTAATGTTTACAGAACCTGGATTGAGGTAAACAATTACAGAAACACTAGTACCCTAATACCACAAACTATTATTTATGATTGAATGTTAATTTTCACGTCAGATTATGGTGATTTGTACATAGACCCAAGACATGACATTTGGCTATTGTTGGTGACTAGTCAAAGTGTCTGTAACCTTTATTGTCGTGCCAGACCCGAATCTTCCAGATGTTACCAAGGCTGTTATCAGTCGCAATCTGAAAAATGTTCACACTGTTCCTGTGAAAAGCGTCCTCTCTGTCCAGGTGTCTGTGACCACTCTTGTCTTCTCTGCCATACAGGCTGATTCCCACATGAGATGATGTGCCTGTTGGTTTGTGAAATGTAATTGCACATCAATCTCATCAAATATGAACTTCAAAATTCTTACTTTGATCCAATGCTATGTACAAGGCGTATTAACGATTTTCACCGCCCTATCAAATGGAAAGCTTGCTTTCCCTAAGAGTATGCAGAAGGAAAGAAAAAGAAAGAACAGCATTTATATGGCACTTTCTCACAGCCCTGGATAGCTCAAAGCACTTAACAGCTTATGAGGTGAAATCACTGTTATAATCTATGAAAGGCTGCAGCCAATTTGTGCACAGCAAGCTCTCAAAAACAGCAATACAATAATGACCAGATCATTTATTTTAATGATGTCGATTCTGGCGTAAATATTGGCTAGAAGCCTTGAGAAAACTCCCCCACTCTTTGAAATACTGCCACAGCATCTTTGAAATTTGAACAGAGAGGGCAGTTGGGACATTGACTGAATATTTACTCCGAAGGATGGCAGCTCTGAGAGTGCAGCACTCCCTCAGTACTGAACTGAACTGTCTGCTTTGAGACCTGTGCTGAAGCCCCTGTAACTCGGATGAGAGCACTACCAACTGGGTCACACCTGACAAGGAGCTAACTAACAAAGGATATTTAAGCACCAGGAATTTTAAATATGAGGGAAGCCAAAGAAACTGGATACGTAACTTCCTGAAAATAAAAAAAAAAATGACTTTGTGGTGACCTAACTGAAATTTCCAACATGTTGAAAGCAATCGAAGGAAACTTCATTCAGCCAAAGATTTGAATACCAGATTGTTACTGGTTTTCAAAATAGCAGATAACTGACACAGAATGTGGTACTAGTCCAACGAGTTCCAAGCAAGAAATTATTAATTGAAAATGTTCATGCAGTAATATCTTTTATGGGGGAAAATGCTGGTGTGGAACAAAAAAGTCCTTTGTTTAAAACTGTTAATTAAATCATATTCTATCTTGAAATTTACAAATATCCGATCTTAGGGTCTCAATCTTGGTGCAAAAATTAATTGAGAAATTATTTGCTCCAAAACTCTTCCTCAGCAGATAAAGTGGGAGACACAAGTTTGTGGCTACAAGTTAGACATGGGAGGAATGTGCTGGAAATGAAGGACAAGATGGATATGCCTACATATCTTTTCTTTAGTTCTCCAAACATAATCAGATCCTTGTTGATTATTCACCAAACTGCAGCAAAATGCCATGATATTTTTAGTATTTATCAAATGCACAGGCAGACCCTTGGTCTGCTTCAGCCAGAACAGGGAAACAAACTCCCGCATGCTGTTGGCAACAATCTGATCAATGTGTTAGCTCTCTGGCCAACTGAACTAACCAGCCTTCCACCTCTACACATATTAACCCAGTATAAAATTGTGGAATGTTATTTGTATCCTGTAAGTGAGGCAGGCTGGCAAGTTGGAAAAAATGAAAATTCATCTTATAAACTGAGTAAAACAGGCTTGTCTAGTCATACGTATTACAAAGTCTTCCTTCTTTTTCAAGTCTTATCTAAGCAAAACTGTTCATATCAAATGTGTTTCCAAGACAACAGTTTTGGATGCCACACCTTGGCACAAGTAGCTTCTTTGTGTATCAAGATCCTTAGAAAATAGGATAAGCATGTTGAAGCATCAAAACCTCTCTGGCAATGGCTATAGGCTGGCAGGTAGTTCTGATGTTAGATCAAGTTTCCGTCCAACAACTTTATTTCCCAGTGATCTTTATGCCAATATAATAGTTTTAAGTTTTCAATGTTCCATAAGCAACATTGAACACAAGCTCAGAGTGTGTTTAATTTCACCCCAAAGTCACATTAAGGGAGCCTTGAAACCGCCTCCAGAAGTTATCTGATATTTTGAAAACCAATAACAATTTGGTAAAATAAACTGGCTATCTTCAGACTACGGAGATAGTAGGAACTGCCGATGCTGGAGATAACTTCTTTAAGGTGGGCATCCTTAGAAGAGGCTTCGCAGTGGGATTAAAATTGTTACAGAGATTTTCTGAAGAAGGGTCTCGACCCGAAACGTCAGCTTTCCTGCTCCTCTGATGCTGCTTGGCCTGCTGTGTTCATCCAGCTCT